CAGTCCCTGGCACTTACATTCCAGTCCTTCTGTGTGTCCTCCTTTGTCTCAGGGCCTGACCATCTCCGGGCTGCCCCCATTCTTCCCAGGCAGCTGTATCTCACAGAACATGGTTTCTCAGTTTTCTCACCTACGAAATGGATTTGTAGCACCTCCCTTGAATTAAGGTTGATGTGAAGCCAAACAGGATCTTGGAAGGGCGATCTCACCGGCGTTTGTGAATGTGATCCTGGTGGGGCTTGGAGCCACAGTGCCACCTGGTGGCCATTTGTCATCTTGCAGGACATGTTTATAACCCCCTAAGCTTCCCTATGAGTGTGGGTTTTCCTTTACTAATCGGGTCAGAGACCTCACCAGAGAGGGCAGCAGGGCCTCAGTGGGCATCAGAGGGAGACCAAAGCATGTAGACAGAAAATGAAACTGCAGGGTGCTTGGGGTGCCTGCTGGCACTCTCCGACCACCCTCTGCCCCAGGGCCCATTGGCCAGCCAGGCCAGCCCTCAGGGCCACAGCCCCACAGCCCCACAGCCCCATAGCCGAGCAGAACCTCCTTCCTGGTCTGTTTCTCCAGGTGGCTCCTTTGGGGAACCCCAGGCATCTGGTTGACCTCCCACCTTGGCGCCCTTCTCTTCCAGAAGGTGGTGTTCAGTGCAGATGTGATTCCTGTCCCCCACTCTTGGTCTGGAACTCACTTGAGACCCAGGCAGAGCCCTGAAGGGAGCAGGTCCATCCCCAAAGGCTGGGTCTGGGTCCTGGTCCTGGTCAAGCTCTGGGGAGTGCCCAGGTCTGGCAGCTGGTGGCCTGTACTCCAGCTTCTCCTGTCTTAAAGGCGGCCCTCTACTCTCTGGCCACCAAGTCTTTGTTACTTCCCTTCTGTTTTGTGTCCCTGAAGACCCCGCCTGTTCTCTGTGGCTCAGGCCTGCATATTCCCTCGGTCCCCATCCTCTCCAAAGAGTAGAACTTCTCAAAAGAAGTTCCCCTTGCTGAATCAGGGCCTGCCCTGCCTGCAGTTTTGCTGACCTTCCTAATTTCTGACCCAAAACCCTGCTCCCACGGGGCTGCAGGGCCACCCGCGTCATACTGTGGTGGGCTGTGCTCCAGGACAGTCATGTGATCCTCCGCGTTCTTTGAAAATGAACCTTTATATGTGTGCATTTGCGTGTGCACATGTGTATCTAGCCTGCTCCTCTTCCTGCCGGCCAGTCCTGGCCGCTGAGCCCCATGCACAGTCACCAGGAAAAGGAGCCCTGCAGCTCCGGGGTGCCGAGATGGAGCAGCCACAGAGACTGGCACGACACCCCCAGCACTGTGCGTGTGTTAGGGGGTGGGGGTGGGGTGCTCTTGCAGCCATGTTTTCTGCAGCTGCTGGGATCTAAACAATACCCTCACTGTAAAGGTCCGGGCCTCTCCAGAGAAGGGCCCAAAGGTCACAATGGTTGCCAGGGTACGTGATGGTTTTCCTCTGCTTTTTTTTTATGCTTTCTCACTTTTTCATTTTCTTTTTTAAAGAGGTTTTTGTTATAGGGTGTGTACTCTTGCCAGAGAGACAGAAAGTAAGAAATTAGCCCACAGGGGGTATGGCCATGCTGCAAACCCTCCTCCTCCATTCCCCTCTCGGAATTTTATGTGCACACGCACATGCACCTGGTGTGAGTTTTAAGCCATCAGGTCTGGGACTCGAACTGCAGTTGACTACGTGGGAGTCCAGCGACGTAACCATTATGCCATCTGCTGGTCCCGCTTTCTCACTTTTTCTAATTTAAAAAAATCTCGTAGCTGTTCAAAGAGAGAGCGAGAACCGGCATGTGGTGTGCATGTGTGTGTGTGTGTGTGTGTGTGTGTGTGTGGATGTGTGTGCACATGTGCATGTCTGGGCAGAAGACCACTTCCCTCTCTGCAGCGTGGAACGTGAGGGCGGCTACAAGCTCTGTGGTGCCCTGGGGCAGTCACTCTGTGGTGTGGGACAGTCCCTGGCACTTACATTCCAGTCCTTCTGTGTGTCCTCCTTTGTCTCAGGGCCTGACCATCTCCGGGCTGCCCCCATTCTTCCCAGGCAGCTGTATCTCACAGAACATGGTTTCTCAGTTTTCTCACCTACGAAATGGATTTGTAGCACCTCCCTTGAATTAAGGTTGATGTGAAGCCAAACAGGATCTTGGAAGGGCGATCTCACCGGCGTTTGTGAATGTGATCCTGGTGGGGCTTGGAGCCACAGTGCCACCTGGTGGCCATTTGTCATCTTGCAGGACATGTTTATAACCCCCTAAGCTTCCCTATGAGTGTGGGTTTTCCTTTACTAATCGGGTCAGAGACCTCACCAGAGAGGGCAGCAGGGCCTCAGTGGGCATCAGAGGGAGACCAAAGCATGTAGACAGAAAATGAAACTGCAGGGTGCTTGGGGTGCCTGCTGGCACTCTCCGACCACCCTCTGCCCCAGGGCCCATTGGCCAGCCAGGCCAGCCCTCAGGGCCACAGCCCCACAGCCCCACAGCCCCATAGCCGAGCAGAACCTCCTTCCTGGTCTGTTTCTCCAGGTGGCTCCTTTGGGGAACCCCAGGCATCTGGTTGACCTCCCACCTTGGCGCCCTTCTCTTCCAGAAGGTGGTGTTCAGTGCAGATGTGATTCCTGTCCCCCACTCTTGGTCTGGAACTCACTTGAGACCCAGGCAGAGCCCTGAAGGGAGCAGGTCCATCCCCAAAGGCTGGGTCTGGGTCCTGGTCCTGGTCAAGCTCTGGGGAGTGCCCAGGTCTGGCAGCTGGTGGCCTGTACTCCAGCTTCTCCTGTCTTAAAGGCGGCCCTCTACTCTCTGGCCACCAAGTCTTTGTTACTTCCCTTCTGTTTTGTGTCCCTGAAGACCCCGCCTGTTCTCTGTGGCTCAGGCCTGCATATTCCCTCGGTCCCCATCCTCTCCAAAGAGTAGAACTTCTCAAAAGAAGTTCCCCTTGCTGAATCAGGGCCTGCCCTGCCTGCAGTTTTGCTGACCTTCCTAATTTCTGACCCAAAACCCTGCTCCCACGGGGCTGCAGGGCCACCCGCGTCATACTGTGGTGGGCTGTGCTCCAGGACAGTCATGTGATCCTCCGCGTTCTTTGAAAATGAACCTTTATATGTGTGCATTTGCGTGTGCACATGTGTATCTCATCTGCGTTAGTTTTATACAGGACTTAGGGAAGGGATTCTTGTCCCCTTTTGTATATAAATAGTAAAAATGTTTGAGCCTGCAGTTGCAATAGTGTGAGAAACATACCCTGTGGGAGTGGGTGGTACAGTGGTAACGACTACGCTCTACAAGGAAATCCCACAGGGAAGGTTTCCAGGTCAAGTCTGGAGACCTCTCTGAGCATTCTGGACACACATGCCCATGATCCAGGGCTGGCGGGAGGTAGGGGTCAGGTTGCCATGTTGAGATGCTACCAGGTGTGTTGTCTCTGTCTCTCTTGCTCATGAGAGAAATCAATAAACTTAAAACAGTATCTACCCTGTCTAAAAGAAAAAAGGTGGTGTGGTGATTAAGGTGGTGGATTTCCACATGGCTGACTGCAGTTTGAACCCAGACCCTGAGACTTGAAACACCCCATGTACGTGCATGGTGTCCAAACTGCTGAGAGAATGGAGGAGAAGGGGGGGCAATGTGCAATTTAGCCATGTCTCCTAGGGGGGTGATTTCTCACTTTCCCTCTCACCATCTCTATCTCTGACAAGCTCATATGCCTTATGGCAAAAAGCTAAAAAAAAAAAAGTATCTTGATTTTTTTTTTTGAGAGGCTTTTGTTATAGGGTGCATGTGCTCACCAGACAGACAGAGAGAGACAGAAAGTGAGAAATCACTCTCCGGGGGAGGGGGGATAGCCATGCTGCAAGAGGTTTTTGCTATAGAGCATGTGCGCTCACCAGAAAGAGAGACAGAAAGTGAGAAATCACCCTCCAGGGTGGATGGCCACACCACAATCCCTTCTCCTCCATTCTCCTCTTGGGATCTTGGGCACACGCACAAATGCACCCAGTGTAAGTTTAAGCCACCAGGTCCCAGACTCGAACCATGGTCCACTTTATGGGAGTCCAGCGACATAGCCATTACGCCAACTGCTGGTCCCAGGGTGTCTTGGTTTCTAAGAGGCCAATGATCATTTACTGTTTCGTATTAAAAAACAAAACTAAGAGAAGAGTCCCCAGTGACAAGGATGAGGTCTTAAATGGGCTTTGCTTTGGGAACGTCAGAAAAGGCTGGAAGGAGGTGGAAACCCCAGGGCCAAGGTGCTCAGTGTTAGAATCACCTGAGAATCTAAGGACACGGCTCTGCTGTGCCCGCACCCCTGCAGGGAGTGACCTCGTATCCGAGGGCAAGGCTGATCCCCACTTGCCCCGGAGCACAGCCCGGCTGCACCACCGCCAGCTCGGGGCCTGCCAGCTGCCTGTGGCTGTTTAATTAATGACAAGAAAACGAAGAAGTTAAGTTTCTCAGCTGTGAGGGGCCGGATTTTCAGTGCACAGCAGGCGCACGAGACTGGTGGCTGCCATATAGGACGACGCATTTTACCGATAGTTCCATCCTGGCGGATTTCCATGGGGCGGTGTTGTCCTAAAGGGTCACCAAGTCCTAATTCTGTCGCTGGAGGTTGATGGGCAGGTCCCCTCATAAGAAACGGAGGTGGTTTTCTGGGTGAACTTCTGAGCAGGCTGGTGACCACAGCGTGCGAGTGTGAATGTGAGTGTGAGAGAGACGGGGCGAGATGCACTGGGACTCCTGTTTTTCTGCTCAGTTGTCACCCTACAGCGGAGAAGCTTCTGGAAATGCATTCTGGGACTGTCAAGTAGGAGACACCAGAGGCCCTGTAACTTCTAGCTGGCTCCGTCCATCCTCACAGGGCTGTGAGGTGAAGGAATGCCTCCCACAGGCAGATCTCAGGTTGGGGTACAGCTGAGGTGGGGCCCCCAGAGCTGAGACAGGACAGAAGAGCCAGCACCTGCGAGGAAAAGCTTTATTCCCAATGGGGTGCCCCCACTGGCTTCCTGCAGTTAACCCTCCTCTGGGACACTGAGCTTCTCCTTGACCCCACAGGCCACCACGGCAAAAAAGAGCTCCGGAAAGAAGGTGCGGATATACACGGCGGCCTTGGGGATGGGGTTGGCCATGAAGACCTCTTGCTTCTTCCGCCTCACGGTGCGCATCACCTCCTCAGCCACCTCCACCGGGTGCACGCCATACGTCAGCTTCCTGAAAAAGACTGAGGGCCCCCAGGCTCAGACCTCTCTGCACGCCCCAAGGCAGGAAGTGGAGCCCAAGCCTGGAGTCACGGGTTCCAGGCCAACTCTGCCATCCACTGTCCCCAGCACCCTGGGGGCGATAACTTAGCCCTTGGGGTTTTGGGTTCTCCATCTGCAAAGTGGGTCTGGCTCTTAGCCTTGGCTACTCGGCCAGAGGTGGTCGTGAGCCAGAGCAGGCTGTGGAAGAACTTAGGAAGCAGAAGATGCCGGATGCATGAAGGGGCTGTTTGTAACTTTGAAGTTGTGCTTGTCAAGAGCCTCTGGAAGCCTACCTTGGTTTATCTTGGCCCCTCAACGTAGACCGAGAGCCTTGGGCAGGGTGTAACAACACTACCTCTAGAATATTCTAGAACAGTGGTGCATTCTCGATGCATTTAGATACTAAGGCCCATCTATAGAGCATTCACTTCAGGTTAGTCGCTGTCCCAAACTCCCCATGAGCCAGAACCTTCAGTCCTCCCAATATCTCTGCCGGAAAGCTGTTACTCCTCCTCCTTCTCTAACGGAGAGACTGAGGCACAGAGATAAGGGGCTTGCGTGTGCTCAACAGCCTAATTTGTGGCAGAGCTGAGCTCTCAGTGCCCGCCATCCGCCCTCAGATTCTGAGTCGCTGCTCTGCACTGCCTCCTGGGGAAGGGAGAGCAGGAAGGCCCTTGACTCCAATCCTGGTGACCACACGTGGGACACAGGCTCGGGGACAGGCAGCTGCCTGGGAAGCCCTCAGAGCAAGCTGAGTGACTGAGCTCCGCTGGGCCATGGTCTGTTGGTTACAAGGTGGGATTCTGTCCACCTGGTGCCTCGGGACTAAAGGTGTGGGGACTCACCCCCTGCTGGAAGCGGGTTGTAGAGGCCCGGCCACCCCCTGACTCATGCTTCCAGAACACAGCCCCGGGCCCAGTGACTGTCCCAGTGGCCCTGGGAGCTCCCAGCTTCCCTCAGAATCTCACATTTCCAAATGGAGGCTTCCCAGTTCCCTTGGCCTGGGTGAACGTGGTAGGAGCAGATGAAGGTGGGGCTCACAGTGCTGACCACCACGTCGTACTCCTCCACTTCTGCTCGGAGGCAGTCGAAGAAGCCCAGGGCTGCGTGCTTGGAGGCCGCATCTGGAAGAGAAACCAGACCCGGTGGGAGCGGGAGGGGCCTGGCTCTGCGTTATGGGGGACACAGTGGAGATGGGGGCCTACACATGCATTCCACCAGGCTTGGAGCTGGAAGGAGCCTCAGAGCCTGCCCCTTGCTTTGTAACGACAGAGAGGCCAACAAGGCAGATCAGGATGGAAGCCAGCTTACCGCCTGCCCGCTGCTGACCTTGGGCACATCACTTTCCGTGCCCGAGCCTCAGTTTCCCTGTCTTTAGGATGGAGTAGGTCTGGCCACTGCGGTGCAAGCAGTAGGACACTCTGGGGCACAGGGGAGGCCTGAGTGGGGTTCTGGACCAGCTATTATAGATGGGTCAGGTGGGCAGCATGTGCTCGAAATCCTGGCTAAACAGGAGTCTGGGGCAGGAGGATCTGGACATGGCCAGACCCTGTCAAAAGTACACATTTTTCAGAGTCAGCACATGGCGTACTGGTTACGTCGCTGGATTCCCACGTAGTCGACCGCGGTTCAAATCCCAGACGTGGAGACTTAAAACTCACACCGGGCATGTATGCGTGCATGCCCAAGATCCCAAGAGGAGAATGGAGGAGAAAGGATTGCGGTGTGGCCATCCTCCCTGGGGGGATGATTTCTCGCTTTCTGTCTCTCTCTCTCTGTTTCTCTGGTGAAAGCATGCACCCTATAACAAAAATCTCTCTCAATAATAATAATTAAAAAATACACATTTTCCTGTCTCTTTTTCTCCTTCCCTGACTTCCTCTCTTATATAGTAGACACTCTCTCCCTTGCCAAGTTATTGTGAAGCTCAAGTAAGAAAACATTTATAAAATGCCTGGCACAAACGTGAGTTTTTGTTTCTTTCCAGGAAGGGTGATAACAAGGTCTGGGCATGCTGGTGCTCCTCCTTCCTGTCTTCCCTTCTTTATGAGAGAGAGAGAGAGAGAGAGAGAGAGAGAGAGAGAGAGAAGACAATGAGAGCTGTGTTTGACAGGGCCTCTCAGTGTCCCGACCCTCCTGTCCCAGTCTCCCTATTAGCTGGGATTCTGGGTTCACGTACCCACCCCTGCATGTTTGGCTTGGCCTAGAAACTGAACCCAGGCCTCCCACGTGGCTTCCAGCCTCCCAGGCAGTGATTCTGCTTGTGCATCCCAGGGGCTGGGCTCCCTCGCCTTGCTGAGCACACTGTTCAGATGGCCCCTTGAAAGCCATCAGACCCCCTCAGTGTGCAGGGCTCAGATGCAGGTGCTGAGGGCTCAGGTTTCTCACCCTGAGGAGAACTGAGGCATCAGCTCCCAGACTCGCCTAAGAACCGAAGTGCATCACACATGCCTGGCCCGTGGCAACTCTTTATCAATGGTCAGGGTTTCCAGATCGCCCCAGTTGTCAGCAGGGTCTTTGTGGGAGCTAGTGTGTGGAGAACTACGTGAGAGGACAGTTGAAAAGCATCCAGGGGCCTCAGAAGAAACCAGCCCTGCTGACGCTTGACTATGGCCTTCTGGCCCCTGGAACTATGAGGAGCATACACTTCTTTTGTTTCAGCCACCTACGCTATGGCCTTTTGTTACGGCAGCCAGAGCAAACTACTGTGAGGGACCTACCCATTTTTCTTTCCTCCATCCTCTCTCTCTCCCTCCTACACTTCTATTCATCAAATATTTCTTTAGTTCATATTTTGCATGTGGTGCTGTGGGCTGTAAAGAAGTGTATGGGGAGGGGCAGCAGGTTGCATAGTGGTTAAGGTGCTGGACTCCCACGTGGTTGACTGCAGTTCGAGTCCCAGACCCAGTGACTTGAAACACGCTGGGCATGTGTGCGTGCATGCCGAAACTCCTGAGAGGAGAATGGAGAAGGAGGGATTGCAGCATGTCATTCCCCAGGGGATGATTTCTTGCTTTCTGTCTCTCTGTCTCTCCAGTGAGTGCATGCTCCCTATAGCAAAAATCTCCCTTTCAAAAAAAAAAGAAAAATGAAGGGTATAGGTGTGTTCCCACCCTCCCAGAACTGACATCATGGGAGCTGGGGTGTCTCCAGAATTTTTCCAGCTGGCTCTCATGAACATACACCAAGACTGCTCTTGGGACTTTTAAGGGATATTCCTCTTTGGAGCTGCCCCAGTTCTGGAATTCTCCTCCTTTTGTCAACAGAACGGCTCTCTCTCTCTCTCTCTCTCTCTCATTTTGTGATGCACAGCTGCCCTTCTCTTGACAATTGTTGTCTTTTCTGTCCACGGGACACCTTTATGGAGGAAGGGGTTGTGCTCATGTCAGGATGACTTCCTCTGCACTGTCACACTCAGCCAGGACATGTCCCGCCCGCCCGTGAGACTGTGAGCTTCGGGAGAGGAGCTTGACTTCTGTAACTCGGGATCTCCCACAGTGACCTGCGTGCTGGAACTTGGAACTGAGGGGATGCAAGAAAACCCAGGGGGCTCTAAAACCCATTCCTGCCACGTACCGTAAACCTATTCACAGACACACAGCTCTCGTCTTACAAGGCAGACAACATCAGATGCCACGATTCTGTCTTAGCGACTTACAAGCCGTCCGGAACGGGATCCCAAACCTCCCCTGGATGTTATTCACTAAGACGATCTGGCCTGCTCTTCGGGAGATCATGTTGGGAAGGAGGGCTGGAAAACAGGACGGGTGAGGGGTCATGGTTAAGATGGAGTCAGGCAGAAGCAGGTGGACCCTCCCGACCACTTCCTCCCACATCACTCCATGGCATCTGCAGTAGTCAGACATGGAGCGGACCCGCAGCCGCCCATCCAGTTCCCAAAGAGTGGGCCGATCTCAGCTGCTGAATTGCTGGGAAATTTAATTAATTAATTAATTAATTAATTAATTAATTAATTTAGACTTTTGCTATAGGGAGCATGTGCTTGTCAGAGAGACAGAAAGTGAGAAATCATCCCCCGGGGGATGGCCACACCACAATCCCTTCTCCTGCATTCTGCTCTCTCTCAGGACTTTGGACACACACACACACATGTGCCCGGCATTAGATTCAAGTCACTTGGTCCAGGACTCAAATAGCGGTTGGCTGCATGGGAGTCCAGCACCTTAACCACCATGTCAGCTGCTGGCCTAACTTGGTGGGTAATTTAACATGACACAAAAGGAGACGGAAAGTGAGAAGTCACCCTCTGGATGGTGGCCATGCTACAATCTCTTCCCCTTCATTCTCCTCCTGGGATTTTGGGCATGCAAATCATGCACCTGGTGTGATTTTCAAGTTGCCGGATCTGGGACTTGAACTGTGGTCAGCTGTGGGGAAGTTCAGTGCCTTAACCATAATGCCACCTGCTGGCCCCAAGTGAAAACCACGTTCAAAAGTAAGAAAGTTATTCTCTTTTCAATTGTTCTATTGCATCAAGGAGAACATCTCCTGTTGGTTCAACAATGTTTTCAACCAGTGCTAATTTTGTAACAAGGAGAGGACTCTGAACTTGGAAGAACTTTGCCTATTTTTCAGGTTTTTTTCTATTTTGAGAGTGAAGGGGGCTTGGTAGTAGATTTACTCCTAATGCGAAGTTTATTTAAAGAAGAAGGACACTTGGACTTGGGCACAGCCGTGGTGGCTAATGCTACTGTGAACCTACTGCAGCTGCAGCTGCTAGAGCTTGTGGTCAAATGCACAGGATCGAGAATTCACATCGAGGGATCAGCAAATGGCGTAGTGGTTACATCGCTGGACTCCCACATGGCTGACCACAGTTTGAGTCCTGGAGCTGGTGGCTTCAAATTTAGCACCAGATGTGTGTGCATGCATGCCCAAAATCTCAACAGGAGAAAGGAGAAGGGATTGTGGTATGGCCATCCCCCCTGAGGAGTGATTTCTCACTTTCTGTCTGTCTTTCTCTCTAGTGAGCACATGAGCCCTATAGCAAAAATCTCTGTCTCTCAAAAAAAAAAAAAGAAAAAAGAATTCATATTGTAATAAAAAGTGATAAGAAAATGTTGGTATACTTCTAGGACTGATGACCTTGCCATATGGTGCTGAAAGATGTCACCGAGTCTGAAATCACATCAGGAGGAAGAAGGGTTACTAGGGACCAGCAGTTGGTGTAATGGCTATGTTGCTGAACTCCCATGTAGTTGACCGCGGTTCGAGTCCCGGACCCGGTGGCTTAAACTCATGCCGGGTGAGTGTACATGCGTACCCAAGATCCTGAGAGGAGAATGGAGGAAGAGGGATTGCGGCGTGGCCATCCCCCGCCCCGCCCCGGAGGATGATTTCTCGCTTTCTGTCTCTCTGTCTCTCTCTGTCTTTCTGGCAAGCACATGCGCCCTATAGCAAAAACTGAGGAAACTTGGAGAAAGGAGGTAGTAAGTAAATGATCGTACAGATGAAATGAGGGTCCTCAAGATGCAACTTCCAGAGTGGGCAATAATCCACTCCCTCTTTCTAGAGATCGGTAAACAAAAGCCCAGAGCCAAGAGTGCAGGCTCAGGCGCCTTCCACAAACCAGTGGAAAAGGGAAGGCCTTTTCCACTCACTTTTCTCATGGCTCACACTGATGCCAGTGGGCAGTCCCAGCCCGAGGTTGACGAAATGACACTCCATTGCTGACCTGCTTGGCGTGTCCACAGGGACTAAGCCGAAGGAAACCGTTATCTCTGGGACATCATTCAAGAAGCTCTGGAAGTCATCTTTCTGCTCCAAATGCTTGTTTCCCTTTGTCTGTCTCAGCACTGGGGACCTCATTTCTTTCTTTCTTTCTTTCTTTCTTTCTTTTTTTAGAGGTTTTTGCTATAGGGCGCGTGCACTTGCCAGACAGAGAGAGAGAGACAGAGAGACAGAAAGCGAGAAATCACCCACTCCAGGGGGATGGCCATGCCGCAATCCCTTGTCCTCCATTCTCCTCTTGGGATCTTGGGCACGCACGCACATGCGCCCGGCGTGAGTTTAAGCCACTGGGTCCGGGACGTGAACCGCGGTCGACTAAGTGGGAGTCCAGCGACATAGCCATTACACTAACTGCTGGTCCCTCTCTCTCTTGCTCTTTCTTTCTTTCTTTCTCTTTCTTTCAAGAGATTTTTGTTATAGGGTGCTCGTGCTCACTGGAGAGACAGTGAGAGACAGGCAAAAAGCAAGAAATCACCCTTAGGCGGGTTGGTCATGCTGCAATCCCTTCTCCTTCATGTTCCTCTCAGGATTTTGGACATGCACACACACATATCCGACCTGAGTTTGAAGCCACCAGGTCTGGCACTCAAACTGCGGTCGACCACGTGGGAGTCCAGCAACATAACCGTCATGCCATCTGCTGGTCCTGTCCCTTTTCTTTCAACACGTATAGTGAGAATGTTGGAAGCTTTCACCAAATAAGTAGAGATTTTCCCGAGGGCCCTCCCTAACATCGGCGGCCCGGATACCTGTAGGAAAGTCAGACTCACGAGACCTTTAGTCAAAGTGATGGGCCCGAAGTAGTTGGCGTCCATGATCTTCTTGTCAAGCTCCAGAGAAATCTTATGGGCAGGCCCCTTCACCTTCATGCTGGCGTTGTTGATGAGGATGTCCACGCAGCCATAGCAATCCAGGACTTCTTTTGCCACATCCGGGACACAGCTGATGTCTGAGAGGTCCAGAACCACCAGCTTAGGGGTGAATGTCTGCAGAACCAAGAGGGGAGTCAGGGCATGGGCGGGCTCCCCTCCCTCTTGCAGACCTTGGGGCCCCTCAGTTTAAGAGTCACCCCTTTAGAAATTCAAAGCTTCTGGAATGACTGCATAACAAACAAACAAACAAACAAACAGAAAAACAAAAACAAAGAGGTAGAAGCAGAAATGAGCCCGGGATGAAGGGAAACAATGGAGAAGCCGCTCTGGGGGACCAGGGCGATGACAACAAATCCAAACAAGAATTTGCAGAAACAAATCTGAGCTTCTGGCCAAGGTTCTAGAAGTGCTAAGTCCAAATGAATATTGCCGTACAGGGTGGTTTCCTCTAGAGGCCGATTCCAAGGGTGACAGTATCACTTTTAACATTTCCAGCCTCCTTTGGGGGGAAAATTGCTTTCAAATCGGCTTATAAACCACAAGGAACTCCAGCACAGAACTTCGTAGCTGCGTTTTGTTTGCAACCAAAACCAAACAGCCCACAGAGGAGCGCTGGCTCACCCGCTAGGTACCAGGCGCTATGGCAGCTCTGAACACTGGCTGTCACGAGCCTCTGTTGGTCTAGAGTGGAGACAGATGAGAAAACTGAGGATGCTGTTGGTAAATGCACTTGCATCTGTCAACTCGAGTCCTGAGATGAGCCCTCAAAGAGAGGGTTCCCTGGTCACATTCATTTGGAAAACACAGATGATTCTTAGAAATCAAGACGCCCTGGGACCAGCAGATGCTACACGTTCTTAGAGACACACAAGGCACATTAGCAGATCAAAGCCTCTGAGGAGTCCTGCAGTAAGGAAACTAGACAAGCTTGGGGGAACGGGATACTTTCCACATAACTGACAATAGAACCTCATTTTCACCCAATACCTTAAAACATCCCAAGAAACACAACCTTGGAGAATTCTGTGTTGTCTTGTTTTGATCCATCTGAGCAAGAATTGGATTTCTCTTTGAATTACTTTTAGCTGTTTCCAAACACCAAATCTAACCACAAGAGTAAAGATTAAAAAGAAAATGATATATATGCAACATACATCTGGAAAAGAACTCTGGAGGTGAGTCTCTAAACAATGTCCCCAAAATACTTGGAAAACTGCAACTGCATTGAAAGAACTGCTCGCTTCCTGGGTGGCTTCTTGTGACTTCTTATTTCTTTGAAGTCTATATCATTTGAAGTATTAAAAAAAAATGAGTCAGGACCAGCAGTTGGCGTAATGGTTATGTCGCTGGACTCCCATGTAGTTGTCCACGATTCTAGTCCCAGACCCAATGGTTTAAATTTGGTTTGGGTGCGTGTGCGTGCGTGCCCAGGATCTCAAGAAGAGAATGGAGGAGCAGAGATTGTGGCGTGGCTATCCCCCCTGGGGGGTGATTTCTCGCTTTCTGTGTCTCTGTCTCTCTCTGTCTTTCTGGCGAGCGCATGTGCCCTGTAGCTAAAACCTCTCCAAATAAAAAATCAGCCATGTTCGTCACCCACACAGGTGACATTCTCTAACATCTGGATCCTGAGTTGGACTTACAGAGAATCACGGTGAGGGTCAGTGGCTAGAGAACACGTCTTTGGCATGGCGAGTGGTAAAAACGAATCAATTCCTCATGACTGGTAGACATGACCTTACCAAGGTCAGTGTGACCATTGCCTCATCTCCCCCAAAGCAATCACCAAATTTCTTCCACTTGGCCCAAAGGCCAGCGGGTGGTATAATGGTTAAGGTGTTGGATTCTCACGTGGTCGACTGTGGTTTGAGTCTCAGACCGGTGACCTGAAACTCACACCAGGTACATATACGTGCGTGCCCAAAGTCCTGAGACAAAAATGGAGGAGAAGAGATGGCAGCATGGCCATCCACCTTGGGGGTGATTTCTCACTTTCTGTCTCTCTGTTTCTCTTCTCTGTCTCTCTGGTGAGTGCACATGTTCAAAACCTCTCTCAAAAACAAAACAACAGCGGGAACCAGCAATTAGCGTAATGGCTATGTCGCTGGACTCCCACATAGTCAACTGCGGTTCGTGTCCCGGACCTGGTGGCTTAAAACTCACGCCGGGCGCGTGTGCGTGCGTGCCCAAGATCCCGAGAGGAGAATGGAGGAGAAGGGATTGCGGCGTGACCATCCCCCCTGGGGGGTGATTTCTCGCTTTCTGTCTCTATGTCTCTCTCTGTCTGTCTGGCGAGCGCACACGCCCTACAGTGAAAATCTCTCAAAAAACAACAACAACAACAAAAAACAAACAAACAAACAAACAAAAAAAAAAAACAGCAACAAGAAGCCAATGCACAACACACAAAACAATCCATAAGGGTCAGGGCCCAGAGTTACAGACCCGGATTTCCAGAAGACCTTACCTTGCTGGGATCAGCCACGCTGATCAAGGCATCGTATAGGCTCTCCAGCCTCTCCCAGTTCTTCCCGCACAGCACCAGCCTGGCCCCGCCCGTGTGGAACACGCGAGCGCACTCTGTGGAAAGAAGCAAGAGGGCAGGTGCACTGTGTGAATGGAGCCGCCGACGCAAGTCTCTTCACTTACACACTCAAGGATGCAAAGAATTCCCAAGTCTTAGCTCCGTGAGGTCCTTTCGAGGCCATTTCATTGGACTCCCTCCTCCCCCTGGGGTAGTTTCGGTCTTTTCAGCCTGAGCTTAGCTGCTGCTTGGGAAAGGAGCTCAGGATGGGGGAAACTATACACCGCCCCCCTCCCGCCCCCACTGTGTAGCTCTGATGACTGGAAATTCTAACTTACACCGAACAGAAGGACGACCCTGTGCGTGTAACCCTTCGGGACCACCGCCCTAGGCAGATCTCTAAAGATACTGACCGCTCCAATCTGTGGGTATTGGAAACTGCCACCAGGTTTTGTTTTGTTTTCAGACCAAATGTTACCAGTTTCCCCCACGTTTATTCTGTGACTAGATTCCCCAACCAGCGTTATTTTTATAAGAAAACAGTAAACCTACTCTTTACGGTTTACTCTGGACTGATTGCTGACCCACCCAATATAGGATGTTTTCATATGGGAAATCATACCGATGCTTAGAAACAACAGTTCACTTATTTTGAGAGTTTCTGGTTCTATAAGTTTCTGAAAGAGATCTACCTATCTTAGCTCATTCAGTTCTTGCAATAACTTTATGAGCTGGTATCTTCGGTCGAGTTCCTTGGAAGTTGAATTTGAGATAGGGGTTCGGGTGGCCAGAATGTATCGAGGGAGTGTCCTCCTAGGCAGTGAAGACAGGAGCAGGTGCCAGGCAAGAATGTGGTCTCCAAGGAAGGCTCTGGAATCTTCTCCCCACAACAGAGCTGTCCCTTCTGGAGGCAAGAGGACCAGCCTTTGCATATCCGTGTCAGCCAGTCACTGGCTATGGACTATCCCCCACGGGTGAGTGCGTAGGTTGTGTGATTCCTGGGCAAGGTGACATCTACTGGCAGAGGACAAGTCCCCAGGATGGGGGCATCCATGAGCCATTAGTGGCCAACACTCACAGCACCTGGGGAGTGGCTGCACTGGCCGAGCTCACAGACCTGGGAGAGGTACCAACAGCACCATCTCCAGGGTGGCTCCCGTGATTATCCCATCTGTGGGAACATGAAGTGGGGAGTCTGGGCTGACTGAGACACTGAAGGATAGCGGGGCAGTGCTGGGTGCCCTCTGGAGCCCAGTACCCTGAGTGCAATGGCCTGGAGTGACCTCACTGCCTCTTGCAGGATTCAGTAGCCTGAAGTGGGTGGAGAGGAAGGGGCCAGCTGGACAGGATGGTTGGCTGGGGTTGGTAAGTGGCCATTGTGGGCAGGGGACTTGTGGCATTCCAGAGAGGAAGTGAGAGAGGGAGAGGCTGAGGTGCTGGACGGTGAGGAGTGAGCCAGGTGGGAGCAGGAGTGAGGCTGGAAAGGGCCGATAGAGAGGAAAGGAGCGGGCTCTAGGGCCGAGAGGTCTCAGTGAGGCCTGCAAACAGGTGTACTGGGTGTCACCGAGAGCTGGAGGAGGGACAGTGCGGTCAGTCTGCTGACTGAGGGAAACCTAAGGCAAGAAGGAACTGTTAACAATGTCACCTTGAATGTCAGGCCTGCAGAGAATGGGGGATTTGGTTCAGTGCAGACGTTCTATTGAGAAAGGGGATCCATCACAAGTCTGGATGACAAAATTCAATACCGAGAGGAATTCGTCTCTGAATGAACGCGATGCAGTAAATCAAGGTCCCAACCGGTTTTAGCACATGGCAGAAAGATTACAAACTTTGTAAGGAATAGTTTGCACAGTTTAATTAAATATGAAAAAAAGGCAAAGACATGTTGAAAAACAGTTATCAAAATGTATTGTGGCTCCATGTCTTAGCAACTGTAAATAATGCCGCAGTAAAAGAAGCTGAAATAAAAAATAAATAAGTAACCAAAAAAAATGTATTGTGGCACCACGGAGTTGAAAGCCAGTGTTCACAGTTCAAATATAGACATATTGACCAAACTAGAGCCGGTATTGATAAGGATGTACTATATGATAAAATTAGCATGTTGAATCTGTGGTTTTTAAAAGAATATATTATTTAAAAATGTATTACTTAAATATATATATATATTTTTTTTGAGAGTTTTTTTTTTTTCCATAGGGTACATGTACTCGCCAGAAAGACAGAGACAGAGAGACGGAAAGCAAGAAATCACATCCCAGGAGGGATGGTCACGCCGCAATCCCTTCTCCTCCATTCTCCTCTTGAGATCTTGGGTCCACACACACACGTGCTCAGCGTGAGTATAAGCCACTGGGTCTGGGACTGAAACCATGGTCAGCTACATGGGAATCCAGTGACATAGACATTAGGCCAACTACTGGTCCCACTTAAATATATATTTAAGACATGTTTTTAGAAATACATTATTTAAAAGGAATATATTTACGTCTCTGGACTCCCACATGACTGACCAGAGTTTGAGACCCAGACCTGGCAGCTTGAAACTCATGCTGGGTACATGTGCATGCATGCCCAAGTTCCTGGGAAGAAAATGGAGAAAAGGGGATTGTGGTATGGCCATCCCCTTTGGAGGAGGGGGGGTTCTCGTTTTCTGTCTCTCTTTCTCTCTCTGGTAAGTGCACTTGCCCTACAGCAAAAATTTTCCTTAAAAAAAAAAAGGAGTATTTGGGTACCTATTTGGGATGTTTTGGAAAAGTCATGTTACATTTTTGCATTGAAAAACAGAAAAAGTACATCGTCACTTTTCTGACAACCCAATAGCTGCACAATACCAACATATACTATAACAAAGAGTTCCATGTATAAGCACTAGAAGAGGGCCACCCCTGAGGGCCGTGGGTTGCGTCTCATTCATGCGGAGTCAGTTCCCACCTGGCCAAGGGGAGTTCTAGCCCCTCCCCCAGTGACCTGAAGCCTGCTGAGGACACGTGTGTGTGCCCCAAACTTGGTGGAGCGGAGACATGGAGGGAGAGGAAGTGTGGCATGACTCTTCGCTGTTTGGAAGTTCTTCCTCCATTACTCTCTGTCAAGTGCATGTGCCCTCTGATGATTAAAAAAAATAAAAGAATTAGAAGAAAGCAGAGATGAATGTATACCCTGTGTGGGTAGCAGTCTGAGCATGCGCTGAAGGAAGATACTGTAACAGAAATAACTGATAGGGTTTATCCTTAAAAAAGCCTCAGGCCAGCTGGTGCATGCTGGTTAAGGTGCTGGACTCCCACCTGGTCAGTGTTTTGAGAGACCCAGACTCAGTGGCTTGTAAATCACACTGGGCGCTGGGCCTGTAGGAGGCATGGTGGTTAAGAGCACTGGATTCCCACATGACCAATCTCAGTTCAAGTCCCGGACCTGGTGGCTTGCTTTCTCACTTTATCTCTCTCTCTCTCACTCTGTCTCTCTCTGGTCAATCTAAAATAAATAAATAAAGTTAAACAAAAAATATTTCTAAAGAAAGAAAGACAGAGAAAGAAAATCACACTGGGTACACATGCGTGCGTGCCCAAAATCCTTTAAGAAGAATGGAGGAGAGAGGATTGCACCGTGGCCATTCCTCCTGGGGGGTGATTTCTCACTTTCCCTCTCTCACTGTCTCTCTCTGTGCGTTTCTCTCTGGCAAGTACATGCTCCCTGTGACAAAAACCTAAAAAAAAAATACACATTTCTATAGCAAATAAATAAATACATAAAAAAGTACAAGAGAAATTGAGAAAAAGTATTGATATCCTGTATGTCAGAAAAAGGTTAATTTATTTGACATTTCAAAAACTTCTCACAAATCAGTAAGAAAAACATAAAGACCCTAGTAAAGAATTGGGTAAAGAGATGAGAGATTGAGAAAAGAAATACCAAGAGCCAACCTACAGGTAGGAGTCAACGCCGAGAAATTGAACAATGCAAATGACACGGGGCGCTGGTTTTTATCTGTCACAGAACTAAAGCCGGCAGTCATACTACTGTGGTACTACTCAGTCCTGGCCAGATATGAAAACAGGGGCTTGTCACACTCTCATTGCTGGTGGCAGTATAAATTACTACCAAGTTTTCTTTTCTTTTTTTTTTTTAGAGAGAGATTTTTGCTTTAGGGTGTGTGTGCTCTCTGGAGACACACAGAAATCACTCTCTAGGGGGAATGGCCACATCGCAATCCCCGTCTCCTTCAACCTCCTCTTGAGATTTTGGGCACACACTTGTGCCTGGCATGAGTTTAAGCTGCCAGGTCTGGGGCTCAAATTGCAGTCGACTCCATGGGAGTCCAGCGACGTAACCATTATGCCACTTGCTGGTCCCTGCAGCCATCTTTTGGGAGAAAAATTTGACAGTATCCTTAAAAGCGAGGATTTTCCTTGACTCTGTTATTTATCTATGAATATTGATGTCAGGAGATCACTCAGACCGTCAACATAGACATAGCTGTGAGAGTGTGTATTTCAGTGTTATTTATTACACTGAAACGTGGGTGAGGTCATTATCAAGGTCTAATATCCCAGGAGAGGGTTAGACACACTACAGTACATCTACCTGTGGGATATTTTGACGTCCTTAAAACTAGTTTGATCCCTTCCTTTCCTATTTTATCAAGTCTAGGGTGCCTTCGCGCCTTTCAGAGACACATCTAAGACGGCCCGTGGAGACTGTAAGATGCTGTGGACGGAGACAATCGGCCGGAGTTCAGAAATGTTGAAAGGAGAAAAACAGCCTCTTGGAAGTGAGGGGGCCAGGTAGTAAAATGCGCCCTGTGAGGCCGACCCCGTGGGAAAGGCCTCGGTTTTTGTCCGGAGACCTCCCGGAAAACACTGGGCACACACTTGCTCTCGATCGTGACTGGCTGAGGCTGGAGTGCTCCCCGGCGTGGGGACGCTGCTGGGGGTCCGTTTCTTTGTCTTTTGCTCGTGGGAGAAATCAAGAAACTTAAACATTTAGAAATGATAGAAAGCCAGCAGGGCTGACGTTATGTGGCTGCTATGTCGGTGTCCCTGGTTAAAATTTTGAGTGT